ACACACACACACACACACACACCCCGTCTGGTATAAAAGCTTTGGCAAAAAATAAAGGATTGCCAGACTCTGCCAGCTGCACACATATGTGCGCGTACACACACACACACACACACACACACACACACCGTCTGGAAATAAAGGATTGCCAGACTCTGCCAGCTGCACATACACGTGCGCGTACACACACACACACACACACACACACACACACACCCGTCTGGTATAAAAGCTATGGCGAAAAATAAAGGATTGCCAGACTCTGCCAGCTGCACATACACGTGCGCGTATACACACACACACACACACACACACACACATACACACACCCCGTCTGGTATAAAAGCTATGGCGAAAAATAAAGGATTGCCAGACTCTGCCAGCTGCACATACACGTGCGCGTATACACACACACACACACACACACACACACATACACACACCCCGTCTGGTATAAAAGCTATGGCGAAAAATAAAGGATTGCCAGACTCTGCCAGCTGCACACACGCGCGCGCGAGCACACACACACACACACACACACACACACACACCCCGTCTGGTCTCTCTCTCTCTCCCTCCTAGACTTGGCCCTATCAAGGCTGGTCTCACATGTCTTTCTCTCGCCAACGCCATTCATCCTGAGGGTATCCCCTGGATCCTGCCGAGGCTGGACCCCAGCAAGTGGCGCCACGGCCACGAACAGGGAACCCGAAGGTAATCCCCCCCCGCCCATTGTTCAATTTTCGGTACGGCTAGGACCCCACTAGGGCGCCGCGGGCCCCACTGCATAAGATAGGTAGGGTAAGGAAAGTGGGTAGGCTTCAGGTTTTAGAACCCCACTAGGGCGCTATAGGCCCCCCTACATAAGAAAGGTAGGGTAAGAAAGGTGGGTACCTTTCAGGTTCTTTCTTCTCTAAAATTAAGCCTCCTCCTTTTTTTTCCTCTTTTTTTCTTCTTCTAATTAGTAACAAAAATGGGTAACAGTAAGTCAAAAGAAAGACAGCTTTTTATTGGAATCATAATGCAACTCCTTAGCCGCAGAGGAATTAAAGTTAAAAAGACCAGTGTTCAATTCTTTTCTACATTTGTCCAAGAGCAATGTCCTTGTTTTCCAGAAAAGAGCAGTTGTCCTGGATTCCCTTACCCTCCTGCCCTCCACCCAGGTGCCCTTTCCGATGAGATCTCTTGCTTTGTCAGCACATGTGTCTCCTCGGACAGTTCATTTATAAAAGCCCAGTTACAGGCCCTGGAAGGGGTTCCCCCTTCCTGCAACTGGTGGGGACTCTTCTTCGCTGAGGCTGACATCCTGACCACTCGGGGTACTCAGAGGCCAGCATGTCTGCCAATGGACCAGACCCAGCGGCCGCAACTGGGACCCTTTTGTCCCTGGTCTCCTCCTGAAGCAGACAACTGGTCAGAGTGCCCCGACCGGTAAGGAACAAGAGACTTTACTGACCTCTCTCCCCTTCCCTCTCTCTGTCCTCTCCTTAGCCCTTCCTATCCTTCCCATCTTTCTAATCCCCCGGTCCTGGACGCAGGAATTTGGTCCCAGGGCCTCAGTTTGAGCTGAGGATTGGAGACTGATCACCTCCTCTTGGCAGAGAACTTGAATTCCGGCATGGCCGGGTTCCAGTCCTCCCTTCTCTGGAAGCCCAGGGGAAAGTCCCGTAACGCCTGTGTGTCTGCAGGTGGCAGGAGACGTCTGTAAGGCCACCCCTTTTGCCCCCCTTTCCCGCCTCCTCCTCCTTCTTCTTTTCCTTACCTCTTAAAATCTTTGAAGACATCTGAAGTTCTGTGTATCTATAGAAGGTTTTCTGAGAGACTGTATTCTTGTATTTAAGGGAGTGTCTGATGAGGACTGCCAGGTTTATATGTGTGTGTTTTAACTCTGTGTTCTGTGTTGTGATTTTTGATGGCCATTTTGCTTATTGTTAGAACTTGATTTTCTTTCCTTGTGCCTTGAGACCAGGGCTCTCAGGAACACTTATCTAGACCATCTCTAAATCCTGAGTCTGAGGGAAAAAGGGGAAAGGCCTTTAAAATTTCTATTTATTTCAACTTCTTTATAAACTAGTAAATTTTATATTGTAATATCTAATTCATGACAAAACTTAAAAAATGAAGCTAGATCTTGCACTGTGTCTGTCTAAATATGTCTTGGTATGTCTTTGTCTCTGGGTGATATTTTTTCGGTTAATTGGTAAATGAGCTCTATTTAATTGGCTTAAAAAAAAGGTAAGCGCTTACAAATCAAATAATTCTAAATTAAACAATAAATTCCAGGTTCAGGTAAACTGGAAAATATTCAGCATTAAATACCTGATATTAATGTTTGTTTGTTGACCTATCAAATATAGACATGTCTTAGAGTAATTAACATCAAGTAAATATTTTCATTATGCCTAGGTTTATTATAAGTTAAATATTGTTATATTGTAATATCTGTTACAAGTTTGTCAACAAGGAAAGTACCTCAAGTAAAGAAACTACAAAAAAAAAAAAATGATATGAGCTTTTGAACTTTATTAAGATTAAAAATGTCTGTCTAAAACAGTTTCTCTAGATTTTGGTAACCTAAATTTCTAAGTATTGGAAGTCTATTGAATAATTAGGTCATTTCCAAATAAAATAAGATTTTGAAACATTTACTACTAAACACTGATTTCCCTTTACAGAAAAATTAAAGAGATTTGGGACTACAAATAAATAATGTATGATGCCATCCTGAGATGTTCACTAATTTTTTTAGAAATTATCACTGGTATTTATGTTCACCAATCTATAGAATGCTAATATAAAAGTAAATTCTTGGTTGCATAAAGAAAGTAGGATGTGTGTGTTCAGTAAAGAAGGTATGAAAAATGAAGTTACATTCTATTAAAAAAAAAAAAAGGGAAGTAAGTCTGACTTACAGGTGGCTGTTTCAGGATTGGAAAACAAAGTAATGGGCACAGAAAGTGTTAAGAAGGTTTGATGGAAAGTGCACTCCAAGGGAAGAGTTTTGTGCATAAATACAAGTTTTCTTGAGACGTTGAACTGCCTTTGATAATGGATTTTAAGTTTCTTTACCTCTGAAGTGATCTGTTCTATGTTTATCTTTAAAATCTTTTTTACTTTGGCTAAGTAAATACATTATTTCACAGTGATCTATATGATTCTACCTGACAGAGTACTATAAACCCTTTTGATATTTATTGACAAAACTGCCTAAATAGCTTGACTTCTAGCTGACTTTGGGACGCTTCAGAGGGCCCCTGAGACATCCCAAAGAGCTATTAAACTACCTGAGTTCATTTGACATGTTAAATTGCATGGGAATTATTGTTGGAGGAATGATAAATCTTCTCAGGTTATATTGTATGGTTGATATTACTTATATAGATATCCTAGAAATTATGTAAAATTCATGAAAATCTTACATGTCCTGGTAAAATGTTGTCAGTTATAATTTTAGTTATCATGTTAAAGTGTTACAAGTCACAGCAATGACCAAGCTACTTTGTCAATCACAATTTAATTAGATTTTAAACATGCCTTGTATGATTTCACTCTCATGCCTTTAAAAAATACTGCTAGTTCTTCAAGATTTATAAAAAAAGACTTCTAAGATTAACTGAAAAATTTTGCTTGTCTGCTATCAGGTAAATTGGTAACAGACTGAAGTTTAGTCTACTCTCTATGTTAAGAGAACAAAGTTTTCTTAGAATGAATCTTTCAATAACAGATTATGAATTTCTTTGCCTTTAAGTGATTTATATTTGTTTTTAAAATCTTTTGTTACTTTAGTAAATACATGTACAAGCTCATTCTGCTTCTACCAAAACTGACCCCTCACTGTTAGACTTGTGCTATCCTAATGTCTTAAAACTGACAATGCCCCTGCTTACACTTTTAAATCGTTTCAAGACTTCTGTACAAGGTTTCATATAAAACATAGCACAGGTATCCCTTATAACCCACAGGGACAAGCCATCGTAGAAACAGCCTATCAGACCCTAAAAACTCAAATTTTGAAACTACAGAAAGGTGGATTTAAGTATAGTTCCCCTCACCAGATTCTACAACACGCTCTTTTGTGATAAATAATATAAACACTGATTCATTTGGGGTGACTGCAATGCTCCGACATTGGAGTCCAAAGCAGCAGAGTACAAA